CTCTCTCCCTCTCTTCCCTGCCTCCCTCCCAGGGATCCCAGTGCCTCCCCACCTTGCCACCTTGGTGGCCCATGCCACCTTGCCCAGCTCCTCTGGGTTTTAATGAAGATTAGGGGTTTGGAGTTTGAAACTGAGCCGGACTTGTTTCTCAGGTGGCCTTTTTTGTTTTGTTTTTGCTATAATGGGGACTGAGCCCAGGGCCTTCACACTTCACCTGCATCCCTAGCCCTTTTTTACTTTTTTAAAAAATCAGGTTCTCACTAAATCGCTAAATTGCCCAGGTAGGATTGGAATTTGCGGTCCTCCTGACTATGCCTCACCATGTTCAGCTCTCTTCGGTGGTATATATACCAAATCTATAGGTGTTCTGCCCCTGACCTAGCCCTTTTTAAATTTTTCTTTTCAAAATTTTTTTTCTTTCTGCTACTGAGAATTAAACTCAGGATCTTAGGCTTGCGAGGCAGGTGCGGTGCCACTGAGCTAAATCCCCAGCACTCGTGCTTGCTTCGGCAGCACATATCCCCAGCCCTAAAATTGTTTTTATTTTGAGACCGGATGTTGCTCTTTGCTAATTATCCAGGCTGGCCTCAAACTTGCAGTCCTCCTGCCTCAGCCTCCCAAAGTGATGACCTGGGCTCAAATTTGGGGTCCTCCTGCCCCAGCCGCCCAGGACACTGGGATTATAGGCCTGAGTCACTGTGCCTGGCTAGGGTGGCTTTTTCCCATGTTACTCCACCCATTTCCCACTGTGTCTCAGCTCAGTTATCTCCTCCACTGAGAGACCTTTTTCTTAGTAGCCCCCAGGTCAGGATCTCAGGTGCCCCTGATGTTGTTCCCTCATAGTTCTCATCACTACAGGGTCTGCAGTCATCTGCCTTGTTTATGTGGTGACATGTTTGTTCCTGTCCCTCTCTTGTCGATGAGCATCCCGAGAGCCTGCCACTAGAAACAGGTTCAGTGAATTAAATAACAATATGTCCTTGATTCAGAAAACCTCCAGCTTGGATAGGCTGCACCCATTTGGAGGCTGGTGGGGTCTGAGGTCTAGGCGGGGAGAGATTGGAGGCCAGGAGAGATTTGCTGATTTAGAAGAACAAGAGCTCCTGGGAGTGTCAACTCAGACAAGGGCTTTGGGAGCAGGCAGTGATGGGCCATGCCCGCAATATCAACTGTTCAGGAGGCTGCGGCAGGAGGATCTCAAGTTCGTGGCCAGCTTGGGCAATTTAGTGAGATCTTGTCTCTAAATACAAGGGGCTGGAAATACAGTTAAAGAGTAGAATGTAGATGTAAGGCCCTGGATTTGATACTAGAGTCGGGGGAGGACTAGTTCAGTTCTCCAGATCCTATGTATCTCACCCTCTCTTTGTAACTTGGGCTTTAAATATCCCCATGTGCACAGATCAGAAGGAATAAAAAGTCCCGGGATGCAGCTCAGTGGTAGAGCGAGCGCTTAGAGTGCACCAAGCCCTGAGTTCCATCCTAGCACCAAAAAAGAAAAGAATTAAAAATATTCTCCAGTGTAGGCTGGGAGCGTCGAAGGACGGTAGTTAGTAACTTTTTTCCACCTTTCTAGAGCCAACCTGAGCCGTGAGCTACGTCAAACCTATATTTAGCAGATGGAGAATCCGAGGCTGTAGGGAGAAAGCACCTGGCCAAAGGCTGTAAACCAATGGACAAGCGTGACTGGCGCCCCCTCGTGGCCAGGAAGTATGAGCTCAGCCTTTCGAGTTTGCATCTGAAAAAAGCCAGGTAGAAAATTTTCAGCGCACTCAGCACAAATGCAAAAGGACTGTGGCAGAACTCGGGTCCTTGAGTTTGCAAGGCAGGTGGCAGAACCACTGAGCTAAATCCTTGGCCCATATTATTCTATTTAATATATTAAATTTGAATATTTCTTATGACAACTCTGTGGTGGTAATGTTACCATTTTATGGATAAGAGATATGAGCATTTTCAACCCAGATGGTGGATCTCCAGAGACTAGGACTTTCTTGCTTCAGTCATCCTCTGTATCAGAACCTCCAGAAGTATTGTTGAAATGTAAGTTATAAAGCTGGGCGTGGTGGTGCACACCTGTAATCCCAGCACTCAGGAGGCTGAGGCAGGAGGATCGCTGTGAGTTCAAGGCCAGCCTGAACTGCATAGTGAGATGCTGTCTCAAAAAACAGAAAACTCGGGGGTCGGAGATTTAGCTCAGTGGTGCCACTGCCTGACTCTTGAGCGTAGAGACCTGAGTTTGATCCCCGCTACCAAAAACAAAAAAAACAAAACTAAAGAAATGCAAGTTACAAAAGCCCACCCAAGCAGTTTAGTTTTTGAAAGTTCTTCGGATAAAATCAGAGAACACAGAGCTGGATGGTCTTCAGTGGTCAAATATATGAGATCTTTTACGGTGCTGAGATTGGCTGGCCCCTGGTTGCTGTGTTGCTTTGTGACCTTGGGAACTTACTCACCTCTCTGCGGCCTGATTCTCAACTCCAGAAGAACTCCTGTGCCCCTCCCTGCCCAGCAAGGCCTCAAAGATGTCTATTTAGTTTGAACAGAGAGGTTGGAGCAGTTACTCCCCTAAAACTAGAAACCCCAAAGCTAGCACTGAGAAGAGCCACCTTTCTTCAGTCCCTGCCTAGACAGAGCAGTGCTTGTATGCCTTTGGTGACAAGAGACTCACTTCTTCACAAGCCCTGCATATCTGGTGTCTGTGTTGCTTGTTTCTTTTTCTTTTCTTTTTTTGGTACTGGGGATCGAACTTGGGACCTTGCTCCTGTGAGGCGGACATCAGAACCACTGAGCTAAATCCCCGGCCCCGCTTGTTTGTTAGAGTTCAGAAGTCGTTCTGTGGAGCTGGACCCTGCCTCTGTGAGTTCCTGTGTCATGCAGAATGCAGGAAATTGCTCTGTTGCCAGCCATGGTGCCAGCTTCACAGATGGCAACTTGAGTGAGTGATCTGGAAGGCTTTCACAGTCAAAAGAACTGATGTGAACAACAGACAGTTAGACACTGTCAGGAACTGGTAGCAAAATTCAGAATTCAAGGCCCGCATCGAGGTACTGGGGAGGTTGAGGCAGGAGATCACCAAGTGTTCAAAGCCTTCCTATGCTACATAACAGAAACCTGTCTCAAAGAACAAAAAAATAAGAAAAGGGGCTGAGGATATAGCACAGTAGTAATGTACCCTTGTGTTTGATCCCCAGTGTCACAAAAACAAAAACTACCCAGATGCCTCAAGGGCTTGGGGTTGTAGCTCAGTAGTAGAGTGCTTACCAGATTCGCAGCTGAGGCAGGAGCAGCACGGGTTTGAGCCCATGCTGGGCAATTTGTTTGTTTGTTTTGGTAGGGGGATCCAACTTGGGTCCTTGCACCTTTGAGGCAGGCAGCAGCACCACTGAGTTGGATCTCTGGCCCTTTTTTGGCTTTTTGAGATGGTCTTATTGTGAGGTTTAGATTGGTTTTTGAACTCACTATGTGGCCCAGGCTCAGATTGATCCTCCTGCCTCAGCCTCATGAGTGCTGGGATTACAGGCGTTCACCACTCCCAGCTAATCAGTCTTGACGTAGAGGTAAGAGCTTCAACTCTGTTCCTTTGCAAAATTGCTTTGGCTGCATGAAGTCCTTTATATATAAAGACACAGGGAGAAGACCGCCATCTACAAGACAAGGGACACAGGACGCTACCAGAAGGAGGAGGAAGCGAAGAAGGGATCCTCCTAGAGCTGTGGCCGGGGGCAGGCTGACAGTGATTTCGAACAAGGAGAACAAGATCTGGCGGCTTCGGGGTGGCATGGCGTAGACTCAGGCCTGCAGGACTACGGGATGATGCGGTTCTGTGGCCCCCAGCTCCCCTCATCGCGGGATCGGTTACAGCGGCCCTAAGAAATCACTGTCGAGACCTCGGAGTGGGGTGGCATGGAGTCTTCACCCGGCAAGAAAGGTGATCCTAATGAACTTATCCGGGGGCCGCGAGCACACTCTGGATGTCGAGAGATCAGAACATCAGATTGGAGCGAAGCGCGAATCTGGGTTTGAACCTCAGCATTAGCACCGCAAACGACCCAGCGTCTCCAAGACCCCGTCTGTGGAGTGGAAACAGCGGTGACATCTGTCAGGAAGGACTGCTGCGAATGTTCCGCAAAAGAACATTTGTCTGGCAGTCGGCAGGGGCTGGATGAACGGTGGCTACTGTTTTCTCTCCTGTGGGATGTGCTGTACTCAAAGAGGATCTCCTTCCAGATCCAATGAATCGGCTAATCTGCGAGTGTATTCCCGAGACTTCAGCCGGGAAAACCAGGCACCCGAATAGAGGCGCTCATACAGGAGTTGTCCTGTAGGCAGCACAAAGCCAGCTAAGGAGAGCAGACCTGAGAGGAGGAACCCGCACAGAGACCAACAGCAGGCGAAGCCAGGCGAGCCTGGGGCAGGAACAGCCAGGGGCTGGCGTCTCTCAGGCCGCTGGGGTGCGAGGAGGTGGAGAAATGCCCTGGTTGCTCCCGCCCACCTGCCATCCCCTACGTCCCATTGGCTGAGTTGCACAGAAAGTCACCTGATTGGCCAGTCACAGGGGGCGGCTTCCCTATATCTAGACTGAGTCAAGGGCCACATTGGAGGGCAAAGAGGGCCAGCCCCAGTGCTGCAGGATGTGTGCTGTTTACTCTCTGGAGCCTCACAGTCCCACCTAGAAGGCTGGCACAATAATAGCATCTAATCATAGAGTCATTGAGTCCCCGACAGCCGGTGGACAGTATGGATGTGAAGGAAGATTTGTGTAGATACGGTGTGCAGGGCAAAAGAGGACAAGGGCGCAGGAATAGGCTCAGTGTGGGTGCGGAACCTGTGTGTGTGATATTTTTATCACAGAGACGCATCCCTCTGTCCTGTCTCCGGGCTAAGACGGTGAGTCTGTGGCCTCCTTTTAGAAGCCCTGAGTCAGGCTGGCCACTCGGCATTCAGGGTAGCTGGAAGTTTGGTCTCTGCTCCCACAGAAGTGTTTCAAATCATGCAGTTTTAGCATCTCTGCCTCCAATTACTGCTGCCAAACTTCCCTCACTTCCCCCAGCCTGGGGCTGAGCCATTTCCAGGATCTCTCTTTGTATAATTAAAAAGAAAAATAGAACAGCTGATGTTGCCAAACATGTATTTAAAGTGACACTCGAGTTCAGGGAGTGAAAAATAAAAACGTTTAAGGTTTAGATTAAAAGTCTCCACGCTCAGCTGATTCCTGACCCTGGATTTCTCTGTAGCCAGGCTACCTTTAATCCCCTGCCCTGGCTCATAAAAGCCCTTTAGACTGAGGGCATTTATTTTCCAGAGAACCCATTCGAGGCTAATCACATAAAAGTACACAGTGTTCCAGGAGCAACCTGTCAAATGTAGTGTGGGTGTGTGCGGCCCCAGGGAAAGTGGGGAGACAGGATGCTGATCCCTGAGGTGACACCTCAAGTCCCCTTCCTTCGCTGTGCCCCTCCCCCTATTGCATCCAGTCCATCAAAACATCCAGGCAGTTCTGGATCTCACCGTTTCCTTAGGCCCTGAGCTCTTCCTTGCGGCTTGCTCTCTTCCATCTTACCCAGGTCACCATGACCACTCACCCAGATGTCTGCCATCATCTCCCCACTGTCCCCCTACCCCACCCCTCAGCAGTTCTCAGTCCTCCCAAAGCCCATCCTATTAACAATAACCACAAAAGCCTCCCCTCCTTTTTTGTGGTGCTGGGGATCAAACCCAGGGCCTCACACAAGCACTGAGCTACATCCTGAGCCTCAGAGAAATCTTTGTATTAAAGTGTATATCTGAAGCTGGGTGTGGTGGCGCACACCTGTAATCCCAGCACTTGGGAGGCTGAGGCAGGAGGATCGCTGTGAGTTCAAGACCAGCCTGGGCTACATAGTGAGTTCCAAGTCAGTCTCAACTACACAGTGAGACCCTGTCTCAAAAAACCAAAAAAAAAGTGTATATCTGGACTGGAGATGTGACTCAGTGGTGAAATGTTTGCCTAGCATGTGTGAGGTCCTAGGTTCAATCCCCAGTATAGTAAGATACAAAAAATACTTCCAAGTAAGTCTCTTCTCTGATTATATTAATTTCTTATTGCAACTAAAACAAACAATCATCAATTTAGTAGCTTCATACAATACAAATATATTCCCTTGGAGTTCTGGAGATCGTAAGTCCAAAATGATGTGGCAGAGGCTAAAATTAAAGTGAAACCAAGGCTGGGTTTCTCACCTTTCGTTTCCTCACCTTTGAGCAGCCATCCGTGTTCCTTGGCTTGTGCTTCTTCTTCTGACTTCAGAGCCTGTAACTTCTTCCCTCATCACATCACTTCTCTTCTCTCGGACCCTTCAGTCCACTTCTTGTGAGGCCTCCGGTGATGACAACCAGGACAACCTCCCCGTCTCACGATCCTTGACCCAATCATATCTGCAGAGACACTTCGCCCATGTAAAGCCACCTATTGGAAGGCTCGGGGTACAGGGCAAGGACATCATGGGGCCCTTACTCAGCCTATGGCACCATGAAAGGCAGGTCCTGCAGTAGTTTCGCATTCGAGTCAGAACAAAGCCTGAGCTCCTTACCTGGGATGCTAATCTGACCCAGCCCTGCCTATCTCCCAGCATCAGAGGCGTCACCTCCCTCCCATACTTGTCCAGGAGCCCACACTGCTTTTCCCACAGGTTGGGTCTTTTTTTTTAGTTCAGCTGGCCTTGAACTCACTGCAGTCATGCCTCAGCCTCTTGAGGGTTGGGATTACAGGTATGCACCACCACCCAGCTTTGGTTGGTCAGGGCCTGTGCACGTGCTGCTCGCTCTGCTAGTAATGCTCTCCCTGAGCATCGTCCCATGCCCAGCGCCACAATCTGCATGTTTATGTCCCAAAATTCACACTCTGAAACCAAACCCTCAAGTGAGGGCACCAGGAGAGATCGCAGGAGGTGATTAAGGGTACAGAACCCTCGGGAATGAGACCATTGTCAGCAGAGGCTCTGGAGAGAACTTTCCTCCCTTCCTCCACACAAGGACAGAGCAAGCCGGGGCCACCTGTGAGCCAGGAAGCATGTCCTCACCAGACGCACAATCCATATGTGTCTTCGTCTTGGGCCTCCAGCCTCCAGAAGCAAAGAAACAGATGCCTGATTTGCTAAGCCACCCATTGTGTGGTACTTTCAGATGAAGCCCAATTAGACTCTTCCCTTTTATTTCTCTGTGTTCTTTAGGTGCTGGGAATCAAACCCAGGGTTTCAAACATGCTGGGCCAGTGTTCTACCACCAAGTGAACATCCTCAGCTCTTTTAAAGAATTAGTTTACTTACTTTTTGTCTCCTCCATTAGCACAAATGACAAATGAGAGCAAAAACATCTTCCTCACCTTACTCACTGCTGTATCCCCAGTGACCAGAACGTGGTATTTCCTTGATGAATGGTGGTTGGGTGGATAGAAGGAAAGAAAAGTGGACAGATGGACGGGGGGATAGGTAGATAAGGGATGGATGGATGGATGGACGGATGGATACAAGCATGAGCGGATGGATAAATGGATGGGCGGGCAGACAGATGGATAAAGTGAATGGGTGGGTAGATGGAAGGCTGGAAGATCGAAGAATATGGAGTTGAAAGGCCTTCATTCCTTTCTCTTTGGTCTCTGAGTTTAAGCGTCTGGGACTCAGATCAGAAGGGCAGATTGGTGCAGCACTAGAGCACTTTCTGCCTATTAGACTCCCTGGTATTTCTTCCATCTCACAATTCAGCCTTTATCACACTACACAGCATGGTGTAAATGACTTATACATGCATTATTTTTTTCAATTTGAGGAGCCTTTATCAAATACCAATTGAATGCTGGGTCTGAGCTTTGCATTCAATGCAGTGAACCTTTATCAAGCACCGACTGGAAACCACTGTCCCCAGTCCGTGCCTGGCACAGTGGCTTAGTAAATGCCCAAATCCATGCGTCCTCTGAGGAGTCCCAGCCTCCTATATACAACCCTACCGTGCGAACATAAGGCTGTCAGGTGGGTGTGCTCAGAGCTCAGGGACCCCTGTCACCTTGTAGTGCCAGGCGCCTTTGGGGACCAGCTCTTAGAGGGAGAGGCCCAACCAGCCCTTCCCACTTGCTCATCCACCCCCTGGCTCCCTAGAAGGACTGCGCTGTGCCACCTTCCCCTGCTACTGCCTGTGCTGTCACTCACCTGGTAAGAGGGCAGGGTCTGGGCCTCCAGCCTAGCACAGCTCAAGCCTGACAGGCTGTGCCCTTTCATTTGGCCTGGATTCACAGTTGTAAATGAATCGTCTGACTCATCCTCTTTGTCACAATCCCTTGTCTAGACTTCTGTTCTTTTTTTTTTTTTTTGTACCAGGGACTGAACTCGGGACCTTGTGCTTATGAAGCAGGCAACAGAACCACCAAGCTAAATCCCTGGCCCTTGTAAAGGCAGTTTTTTAAAAAAATGATAGAGGTGGGGTGGGGATTTACCTCAGTGGTGCTGCTGCCTGCCTTGCAAGCAGAAGGTCCTGAGTTCAATCCCTGGTACCAACAACAACAAAAAAAGATATTATGTAATCTCTTGTAAAAATGTAGACAATACGTAGAAGGAGTATAGGCTTACATCCTTGCTGTAGTCACAAAGCTTTGTGCCACATATTTTTCTTCCCTTTTGTTTTGTTTGTTTTTTGTTTTGTTTTTTGAGACAGGGTCTCACTATGTCATTGAGACTGACCTGGAACTCACTATGTAGCCCAGGCTGGTCTTGAACTCACAGCGATCCTCCTGCCTCAGCCTCCCGAGTGCTGGATTACAGGCATGTGCCACCACGCCTGGCCTTTTCTTCCCTTTTTTCTTTTATTCTATCTATTCATCTACCAACTGTGGTACTAGGGATGGAACCCAAGGCCTGGTGTCTTTTTATCTTTTAGTCCTCCTACTTCGGCCTCCCAAGTAGCTGGATTTCAGGTGTGTACCACCATGTCTGGCTCCCTTGCTTTTTTTGGGGGGGTGGGTACCAGGGATTGAACTCAGGACTTTGTGCTTTCGAGGCAGGCACAGTGCCACTGAGCTAAATCCCTGGCCCTCCCTTCCTTTTTCTGAGGGTGGATGGGTACTAGGGATTAAATTTAGGGCCTTCACACTAAGCTACATTCCCAGCCCTTTTTATTTTTTATTTTGAGACAGCTTCATGCTAAATTGTCCAGGTTGGGCTTGAACTCATGTCCTTCTGCCTCAGCCTCCCAGAGTGCTGTGATTACAGGCAGGTAACACCATGCCCAGCTTCCCTCCTCCTCCTACTCTTCCTACTTTCTTTCTTTTTTTTACACAGGGTCTTGCTTTTTAGTTCAGGCTGGCCTCAAACTCACACTGATACTCCTACCTCAGCCTTCTGAGTGCTGGGAGTTCCTTCCTCTTTTTTTTCCCCATTAAACTTATTGGTACATTTAAAGCAAACAATATCCTTCCTCTTTTTAATTCAGGTAAGCTATACACAGCCTTAAATGTGTCATTTTAACTTTTTTTTCTTAGGATTAAATCCATGCGGTGTTGAGCTGTATCTCCAGGCCTTTATTTTATGTATATTTTTTATTTATTGTACTTATATTATTTAATTTATTTATATTTATTTGATACAGGTCTCGCTTTGTGGTCCAAACCAGTCTCAAACTCACCATGTAGCCGAGGTTGGCCTGGAACTCACTGTGATCCTCCTGCCTCAGCCTCCCAAGTGCTGAGATTACAGGTGTGTGCACATTAAAGGTTAAGTGCATAGTTCTGTGGTGTTAGTTACAGTGCCACTATCACCTCCATCCTTCCTATTTTAATTAAAACGAACTCATTCATTTCCACATCACTTTTTTTTTTTTTTTTTTTTTTTTGAGATAGGGTCTCACTATGTAGTTGAGACTGACCTGGAACTCACTAGGTAGCCCAGGCTGGTCTTGAACTCACAGTGATTCTTCTGCCTCAGCCTCCCTCGAGTGCTGGGATTACAGGCGTGCGCCACCACACCCGGCTCCCACATCACCTTTTATTGAGGTCTTATCATCCGTTACTTTAGGACACTTATAAACATCTGAACTTTAATGTACCAATTATGATGCTAAGGAATAGCTAGTAGAGAGTTTGTCATAGTAAAGTTGAATCATTAAATTACTTTTGGTGCTACTTATTGTCAAGCAAAGTAATAAAGATTGTACTGCTGTGGGCAAGTATAA